GCGGGTTCAATCCCACCGGGGGTATGGTTTATTTGCAATCGTGTCATTCGATTTCTTGAGTCATGTTGACGGCAGTGAAGGGACTTGAGCTAGAGTTCGTCACGGCCACGCTAGCTGGAGATTCGTCTGTAAAAACTTGCGTTTGTGGTCACAGAGGTGCCTGTGCAACTTTCCTATGGTGTAGAAAATGTACCTAGTTGGATGAATCTTATTGTGGCTAGCTGGTCTAGTGGCTAACGCGACGGGCTGGAGTTTTGAGACTCTATGACCGCGGGTTCAATCCCGGCCGGGGGTATGGTTCATTCCCATTACTAAATTTACTAATTGTAATATTGTTGTATGTTTTGTACTGCCTCACTATTATAAATCTAATTAATCACTGCAGTTACCTAACATTTATATCAGTATGCTCCATAACCTGTGTCAATATAGAGTAAGACTTACGATTATCTGCCCGAAATGCCTAGGGATGCTAATAAGAACATAAGAACGAAGGAACACTGCAGAAGGCCTACTGGCCCATGCGAGGCAGGTCCAAGTCTCCTACCGGCTTAAGCCAATGCACCCAACCTAGTCAGGTCAGGTCACATTGACTTAAGGGAGGAACACGGCAACCGACCTGGTAGCACAAGCTATCAGGTCTAACTCACACCCACCCACATCTACTCATGTTTTTATCCAACCTATTTTTAAAGCTACACAACGTTTGGCCTCTATAACTTACTTGGGGATTTTTCCCACTCACCACAACTCTTCCCAAAACCCATACTTTCCATATCCTTCCGAATCTGAATTTTTCCAACTTAAAACTATTGGCGAGCCCGTCTAGCTAATATTTACAGCACACTATTTTACTCCCCTTTATTTATTCCCCCTTCCCTTCCATTTATACAACCTCAAATCAACCCCCCCTTTTTTTAAACCTTTCTGGGGTGCTTTCAGGGCCCAGTCATCCCATACCATTTTACGGGGGAAATTCCGGGCAAGCCCCCCCCCCCCCCCCACACCCCCCCCCCCCCCCCCCCCCCCCCCGTCCAATGTTTTTGGCGGGGAATCGAACCCAGCCCCTCGCCGTGTGAAGCGGGGGCTTTAAACCCACCGGGCCCACCAGTCTGATACATGGGATCAACTTTGTCCCCCTTTGTACTTTTTTTCCAGAAATTTATATCCTTTCTGTAAAGGGTGACCAAAACTGTGCGCATAATCTAAAAGGCCCCAACCAAAAATTATAGGTTTGAAAAACAACCTGAGGGCTCCTATTTTTTATGCTTTTTTGATTGAAGCCAAGGGTTCTATTAGCTTTTTGCGAACACTTTATGCCTGTTGTCTTGTTTCAGATTACTGCAACCAGAACTCCCAAAAACTTTTTTTGCAATCCTAATATTAAGACTACATTATTTTGTTTATATGTGGCATGGTTATTGTCCTGTCCAAATTTTTGAACTTTGCATTTGCTATATTAAATGATTGCCACTTCTCCACCACTGCATCGTCTATTCAAATCTTCCTGGAGTGCTCGAAGTCCCGTCAGAATGAATTCGACGACATTTTGGTGTCATCGGCAACTTGCCGATGTCGCCTTTAAAAGCCCTCATCTAGTCGTTTATTAATTGTGAACAGCAGGGGGGCCCCAAAACCCGACCCCTGTGGAACACCGCTCTGACGCTTCCCCACTCTGATTTCTCCCCCTTTATGCAAAACTCTTGCTGCCCATTTGTCAACCATGCCTCATCCAGGAAAAAATTTTTTCCTCCTATTTCCCTGTCTTTTAATTTTTTCCCCAATAGTCTCTGTGTGGGACCCGTCAAAACCTTACTGAATCCATATACACAAATCATATTCATTACCATGACTACCCCCTCAAATACCTTGTGAAAAAATTTAATAAAAATTCGAAGGCGGAACGCCCCTTTTTAAAACCCTGCTGAGATTTTTGATTAAATTTTTGCTTTTAAAAGGGGGCTACGAAAGCCTCGGGAAATTTTTATTCCATAAATTTTCCCCCTAGGGGGTTTGGGTTATTGGGCTAAATTCAAGTAAGGGCCTGTCACCTTTTTTGAAAATAGGTATCACTTTCCATTTTCCACTTTCTGGCACCATGCATTTGTAGTATATGTTGAAAAGATTAGCCAAAGGTTTTGCTAAGCTCCTCTTTACATTCCTTTAGAACCCTTGCATACAGTTCATCAGGGCCTGGGGATTTGTTAGGTTTTAATTTATCTATTTGCCTAAGGCCCATGTCACTTGTGACCCTAATCGTGCACAGTTTATTATCGTCCTGTTCTACATAATTTATCATTACTGAATATCGCTTGTATCCTCCTGTGTAAAAACTGAGAGGAAGTATGTGTTAAAAATTCTACACATTTCCTTATCACTGTCAGTGAGCTGACCCGAGGAACTTTTGAGTGGGCCTATTTTTGTCCTGATCTTACTTCTGTATACCTGAAAGAATCCTTTTGGGTTAGTCTTCGATTCTCTTGCAACTTTAACCTCATAATCTCTTTTTGCTTTTCTAATTCCCTTTTTTATTTCTCTCTTTAATTGAATATATCGATTTCATAATTGCCCCTCTCCTCTTTTGATTTGCCTATATATGCCTCTCTTTTGACCAATCAGATATTTTAATCTATTGTTCATCCATTTAGGATCATTTTTGTTGATCTGATTTCCCTATTTGGAACATAATTTGACTGAGCAGCTAGAACTATGCCCTGGAAAGCATCATATCGGCAACCATCACCACCTACCTAACCCTTAGTCAGGTCATTCCAGTTCAGCCCACCTAAGTAATTTTTCATCCTATGAAATCAGCCAAGCGAAAGTCAGGGACGGAGACTTGACTGCCATTATTAGGGGAATTCCATGATATATTAAAACTGAATGATTTGTGATCACTTTCCCCAGCTCATCATTAACCTCAAGATTATTAATTAGTGTTTCCCTACTGGCAAGAACCAAGTCAAGGAGGTTATTTCCCCTAGTTGGTTCTGTCACAAACTGTTTTAAAAAAAAACAACCCTGGATCTTTAATCAAAAAAAAGCCACCAGACTCAAAATTTTCCCTGTAAAATGTAGATGCCTTACAAATTTTCGCCCCATGAAGTTTACTGCATCCCTATCAAGATTTGGGGCCTGTAATTTCCCCCCCCCAAAAATTTTATTTTTTTCTCGGCCTCAAAGAAGCTGAAACCCAAAACAGATTCAGTGGCTGACGCTTCAAATTTTAATTATTTTTTCTAAAACAAAAATTTTTAAAATTGTCTCTGATTACTTGCAAATCCCCCCACCTTTCCTGGCCCCCTGTCAGTGTGGAATAATTTATACCCTTGTATGTAAACTTAAAAAGGGGCATCTTTTAAACTTTCAGATTGAGAAGGTTTTGGGTTATACAATAATATCTATGTTTTTCCCGCCCCTTTCAAATTTAAACTTAGCTCCCTTATCTTTTTCTTAAACTCCCCGCTATTAGTATAGTAAAACCTTAAGGGCTAATTCCCCTTCTCCCTCTCCCCCCTTTTTTGTTTTCCTGATTAAAAGTAATTTTTTTAAAAACCCATCTTCCTTTTATAAAAAAAAATTTTTTTTCCCCAAACCCAAGTTTTGCAAACCCGCTTGTTTTTCCCCCCCACACCATACCAATTTTCACAGTTTAAAAAACATGGGGATTTCACCAATGGCCTTCTCAATCGAGCGCCGTGTACCACCCCCCCCCCCAAAAAAAAAAAAAGAAAAAAAAAAACCCCCCCTCCCCCAAAAAAATCATTTTCCAAAAAGTTTTCCAGTTTTTCAAGAAAGGATAGCCAAAATTCCTTTTCAAATATCTGTTTAGCCAGCAAAATTTTCACCAATTGCCCTAGGGAAACCATTCATTTCCTACTCCCCTTCTAGGCAAGTGCTCATAGATTGGGGTCCCCCCCCTTAGACTTAATGAAATTCCCCCCCCCATAGCTAACCCCGTACTTATCCCCCAGCTCTTCTCTCCTTCCCTTCCCCTTTCATTTCCACCCCGCCCCTTTAGCAGATAATGGGGTTGTTCCCCTTACCTGCATGATATTAAACCCGCCTGTTGACCAAAGTCCCCAAAACCCGCTCCCGGGAAACACACCCCTATCTCTCATCTTCTTTTTTCCTATTACAAAATGGCCCCGGTCAATAATCTTACCTGGAGTCAAACCCAACCCAAGAATTTTTGCTTACCTCCCTTAGCAGGGGGGAGTGTACCCTTTCCTTCCTGGCCACTGAAGTACATTCATTGAAGAAAAAGGAGCCCTTTTCCCACCTTCAGTCTTCACTTTAAACTTTCCCTTTCTCTGATGAGCCCCCCATTACTGTGAAAAATCCCCCTTTTAGCAGGTGTGGAAAGGGCCCCCCTGTGGTAGCCGTTTCTACCTCCCCAACTACAGCCTCCCACAGCGAGGGACAGGGCTGCACCTCACCCGCTAGGAAACCTCATTCCCCCCCAACTCCCGCAAACCCCACACTCTCTCCCCCCCCATTGAGGGGGGACCCTTTTAGCCCCCTAATCTCCTCCTGGAAAAGCCCCGAAATCCTCCCTTTAAAATCTTTCCCAAACCCCAATTTTTAAAAAAAACTTTCAGAAGAAGCCCTGCTTTGTAACCGTCCAAGGGTAATCCCCAAAGCCCGTCAGGGTCTGTGACCTTTACGTGACGACTGACCATGACCATAATGGGTTTTTGTAATTTAATTTTTTTTAAATATGTTTAAAACCCCACATATTTTGATTGCCCCAAAGGGAAAAAACATTTTCATTTTTTAAATTTTCAACTTCGACTCCTGAAGACTGACAAGTATATTTAGCTTAGAATACACATATTTTAATATAGAGAAAAAAAAAGAATTTCATTAATCATCCTAATTCAAGGCCTTACTTTCTTAGGCACAGTAAACCCAGATTGGTATATCTCAAATATGTTATGTGAAAAACACAAGTAACGCTGCCATTTGCACATCTGCATTATTTTTTTTTAAATACGTACCATAAGTGTGATCAATTTCAGGCCCATAGGCAGCTCCTGCTCCCCAAGACCATCCAGGACCACCCATTTCAGTAAAGACAGAATATTCACATTTATCCGAGGCTTCAAAGTCGCAGTCAGCACCTGGTGAAAGCATATTGGAAAATATGTATATCTGCACTACAACTAAATTTATAGGGTAAATTTTATTTTATTCGGAGAGTATATATATATATATATATATATATATATATTTATATATATATATATATATATATATAATATATATATATTATATATATATGTATATATATATATATAATGTATATATATATATATATATATATATATATATATATATATATATATAATATTATATATTATATTATATTATATAATATATATATATATATATATATATTATTATATATATATATATATATATATATATATATATATATATATATATATATATATATATATATAAGATATAGTATATATAAACACGTCGGCCATTTCCCACCAAGGCAGGGTGACCCAAAAACAAATCCCAAAAAGAAAGAAAAAACTTTCATCGTCATTCAACACTTTCACCATCACTCATAATCACTGTCTATGCAGAGGCGCTCAGATACGACAGTTCAGATGTCCCTCCAAACTGCCATTATCCCAAACCCTTCCTTTAAAGTACAGACATTGTACTTCCCACTTCCAGGACTCGAGTCCGGATCACCGGTTTCCTTGAATCCCTTCTCAAAATATTACCCTGCTCACACTCCAACAGCTCGTCAGGTCCCAAAAACCATTCATCTCCATTCACTCCAATCCAACGTGCTTATGCACGCTTGCTGCAAGTCTAAGTCCCTCAAACACAAAACCTCCTTTACCCCCTCTCTCCAACTTTTTCAGGGCCAACTCCAAACCCGCCTTCCTTTCCCTACTGATTTATACGCTCTCCATGTCATTCTACTTTGCTCGATTCTATTTAAATGACCAAACCATCTCAACAGCCCCTCTTCAGCCTTGACTAATACTTTTAGCAATTCCACACCACCTCCTAATTTCCACACTACGAATTCTCTGCGTAATATTTACACCACACATTGCCCTTAGACATAACATCTCCAACGCCTCCTCGCTGCAGCATTTACAACCCATGCTTTACACCCATATAAGAGTGTTGGTACCACAATATTCTCCTACATTCCATTCTTTGCCTCCATAGATAACATATTTTGTCTCCACAGATACCTCAACGCACCACTCACCTTTTTTTCCTTTCACTAATTCTATGGTTAACCTCATCCTTCATAAACCCATCCACTGACACGTCAACTCCCAAATATCTGAAAACATTCACTTCTTCTATACTCCTCCCTCCAACGTGATATTCAATTTTGCTTTATCTAAATCGTTTGATACCCTCATTACCTTACTCTTATCTACGTTCACTTTCAACTTTCTACCTTTACACATCCTCCCAACTCATCCACTAACCTTTGCTACTTTTCTTTACAATCCCCCAAAAGCACAGTATCATCAGCAAAAAGTAACTGTGTCAACTCCCATTTTGCATTTGATTCACCATAATTTAATCTCACCCCTCTCCCGAACACCCTAGAATTTACTTCTTTTACAACCCCATCTATAAATATGTTAAACAACCATGGTGACATTACACATCCTTGTCTAAGACCTACTTTTACTGAAAAGTAATCTCCCTCTCTCCTACACACACCCTAAACTGAGTCTTACTATTCTCATAAAAACTCCTTACAGCATTTACTAACTTACTACCTATTCCAAACACTTGCAACATCTGCCACATTGCTCCTCTGCCCACCCTATCATAAGAGTTTTCTAAATCCATAAATGCAAGGAAAACCTCCCTACCTTTATCCTTGTTCATCTGCAATCCTGCTCTGTCTAACCTCTTATTCTTTCAATAATAACATAACATACAGTTTACCTGGTATAGTCAGTAAACTTATTCCCCTATAATTTTTACAATCTCTTTTGTCCCCTTTCCCTTTATTAAAAGGAATTATACATACACTCTTCCAGTCCCTAGGTACTTTTCCCTTTTTCATACATTTATTAAATAAAAGTACCAACCACTCCAAAACTGTATTATCCCCTGTTTTTAACATTATTGTTACGATCCCATCAGTTCCAGCTGCTGTACCCCTTTTCATTCTACCCAATGCCTCGTGCACCTTCTCCCACACTCACATCTGGCTCTTCTTCACTCCTTAAAGATACTGTATTTCTCTGATCAGTGCATGAAATTGCTGTCTCCCTTTCTTCATCAACAGCGCCTCAAAATATTCCCGCCATGTTCCCAATACATCCAACTCCCCATCTACTAACTCCCCTATCCTATTTTTAACTATCAAATCGTCCCATAGACTTTCTTAACTTATTTATCTCACATCAATTGCTTTTCCTATTCTCAGCAAAACTCACAAGGCTAGAAATAAATAAACGTACACTCAAATAATATATATATTTACATACCAAATCCTGCCGATGAGCAGGTTCCATCCAAAAGGAGGAAATCATCAATAGCTGTGTGGCCATTATCAACCGTTTTAGTGTTAACAACGGCCTCAAAAACAATGAACTGAGTGGATACTGTAGTGTTTGGAATGAAGAACTTCATAAGATTCCATTTCTCCCCCATTTCACCATGAGCAACCCAGTCTATGTGTTGCGTAGGCCAAAACTCATCTAAAAGGTGAAGATGTCCTTGTAAAAATCTAATGAATTTCAGATCAAATAGATTTAGTAATTCCTCGTATGTTAATTAATATAAATATTTAATTTCATTACTTATGAAAAGTAGAGAGAAAAAAAAGACAGTATAACAAAATAATATATACAGCACATAATAGGTGGTATATTACTGAAAGTAGTTAAGAGTTTTTATAAGGATAATGAGGCTCATTTTATCGGATATAGGAGATACGGGAATGTATAAGAATATAGTAAAACCAACACTTATATGAGTGTTAAGCATTTGTTGTAACTGTTGCAGCAAGGAGGAGCTTGGAAGCAGTGGAGATATCTTGTCTGAAGGCACTGTGTGGTGTAAATACTATGCAGAGAATTCGTAGTTTGGAGATAAAGGGCTGAGGGGAAGATGTTGTTGAGGTGGCTTAAACATTTAGAGAGGTTGGAGCAAAATAGGGTGATTTGAAGGGTGTATAGAGAGAAGGCAGGGTAGGGGTCGCCAACCACTCCTATACTATAACTCCCCCTGCTTTTAACATTTCTGTCATGATCCCGTCAGTACCAGCTACTTTACCCCCTTTAAGGGTGTAATAGAGAGAAGGCAGGGTAGGGGTCGCCAACCACTCCTATACTATAACTCCCCCTGCTTTTAACATTTCTGTCATGATCCCGTCAGTACCAGCTACTTTACCCCCTTTCGTTCTATATAATGCCTCACGCACCTCCCCCACGCTCACACCCTGCTCTTCTTCACTCCTAAAAGATGTTATACCTCCCTGGCCAGTACATGAAATTACTGCCTCCCTTTCTTCACTGACTTTTAAAAGCTCCTCAAAATATTCCCGCCATCTACCCAATACCTCCAGATCCCCATCTATTAATTCCTCTACTCTGTTTTCAAATGACAAATCCATTCGTTCCCTAGGCTTTCTTAACTTGTAGAAGCTCCAAATTTTTTTTCTTATTCTCGGCAAAATTTCTTGACAGTGTCTCTCTCACTCTATCGTTTGCTCTTTTTGCACTCTCTCACAACTTTCTTCACCTTTCTTTTACTCTCTATATATTTTGCTCTTCTTACATCACTTCTGCTTTGTAAAAACCTCTCATAAGCTACCTTTTTCTCTTTTATCACACCATTTACTTCATCATTTCACCACTCTTCTTTCCTCCTGCACCCACCTTCCTATAGCCACAAACTTCTGCCCCACATTCTAATACTACATTTTTAAAACTATCCCATCCCTCTTCAACCCCTTCCCCCCACTACTCATATTGCATACTCATACTTTCTGCCAATAGTTGCTTATATCTCACCCTAACTTCCTCCTCCCTTTGTTTATAAACTTTCACCTCTCTTACCTACTGCTGCCATTTTTCTTTTCTCCCATCTACCTCTTACTCTAACTGAAGCTACAATTAAATAATGATCCAATATATCCGTTGCCCCTGTATAAACATGTACATCCTGAAGCCTACCCATCAACCTTTTATCCACCAGTATATAATCTAACAAACTACTTTCATTAAGTGCTATATCATATCTTGTATACTTATCCTCCTTTTCATAAAATATGTATCACTTATTACCAAACCTCTCTCTACACATAGTTCAGTTAAAGGCTCCCCATTTTCATTTACCCCTGGCACCTCAAATTTACCTACTACTCCCTCTACATTTTTACCCACTTTAACATTGAGATCCCCAACCACAAGTACTCTCTGACTTAGTTCAAAACTCCCCACGCACTTAATATTTCCTAAAATATCTCTCCTCTGCACTTCTCTCTTCTCCAGGTGCATGAATACTTACTATAACCCACTTTTCACATCCAACCCTTGTTTTACTTCACATAATCCTTGAATTTATACATTTATATTCCTTCTTTTCTTGCCATAACTTATCCTTCAACATTATTGCTACTCCTTCCTTAGCTCTAACTCTATTAGAAACCTCTGCCCTAACCCCATTTATTTCTCCCCACTGAAACTCTCCTACCCCCTTCAGCTTTGTTTCACTTAGAGCCAGGACATCCAGCTTCTTTTCATTCATAACATACACAATCACCTATTTCTTATCATTCGCACTACGGCCACGCACAATCAAACATCTCACTTGGACGGTTTTCTTCTTTTTCCTGTTAGTAGGCTATATGGGAAATGGGGTTATTAGCCCATTGTTCCCGGCATTTTAGTTGACTTTTACAACACGCATGGCTTTTGGAGGAAAGATTCTTATTCCACTTCCCCATGGATATGACAGGAAAAGTAATAAGAACAAGAACTATTAAGATAAAATCAAAGAAAACTCAGATGAGTGTTTATACATAAGCGTGAAAATGGATGTGAAGTGTGACCTAAGGGTAAGTAGAAGTAGCAAGATACACCTGATATCTTGCATGTTTATGAGACAGAAAAGAGACACCAGCAATCCTACCATCATGTAAAACAAATACAGGCTTCCGTTTTAGTCACTTGGCAGTACGATAGTACCTCTATGGGAGGTTGCTGTCTACCAACCTATTACCACAATATACGTATATCTATATATCTATCTATATATATCTGTATATATATATATATATATATATATATATATATATATATATTATATATATATATATATATATATATATATATATATATATATATATATATATATATATATTATATATATATATATCATATATATATATATATATATATGTCGTGCCGAAAATGTAAAACTGGTCAATTAGCAAGAACTCATTTAAAATTAAGTCCTTTCTAAAATTTTCTCTTATACGTTTAAAGATATATTTTTTTCATTAATGTTGATGTAAAAAATTTTAATTTTGCACCAAAAGGAACTTAGAAAACTTACCTAACCTTATTATAACAAGCGCAATTTATTTTAGCCTAACCCAACTAAATATATTTTAGGTTTGTTTACAATAATTTAATACTAAACAAACACAGTGAAATATATTTTTTTCGTTAGGTTCAGAATTATTTTGGCGAAATTATTGCATACACAAATTTTCACTTGTCCTATATGGCAAGATGAGCGTTGCTATTTAAGCCAAGATCGCAAGTTCTTCCTATTCGGCACGATATAATACATATTATATTATATATATATATATATATATATATATATATATATATATATATTATATTATATATAATATATATATATATATATATATATATATATATATATAAACTGTCTGTTTTCTCATCAATGTTTTTGAGAGCTTTACGTATTTGTAGTCCAGAGTTCATAGATGAAGAAATATCCAAAATTTATGAAATAGCCATTGATCTGAAATACCCGAGAAATGTAATTGATAAATCATTTAAAATTGCTAGAAATACTTTTCACAACCCAAAAAGGGACAACCAACCTTATTCAACTAAAAATATGTTGGTTCTCCCTTACCATGAAAACTTGGTTGATATGCCTTCTCTTCTTAAGACTTTTAATATTAAAGTTGTATTTAAAAATCTTGATACAGTAAAAAAACTTTTGATAAGAATTCCCCCCAAAATGCTGACGGATGTGCACTGGACAAGCACCTATTGTCGGTTCCTGATCAGCCGGGCTGTGGCTCGTACGTTGGTTTGCGTGCAGCCAGCAGTAACAGCCTGGTTGATCAGGCTCTGATCCACCAGGAGGCATGGTCACAGACCGGGCCGCGGGGGCGTTGACCCCCGGAACTCTCTCCAGGTAAACTCCAGGTAATAAGATTCCTTGTAAAATTTGCGATAAAGTTTATTACGGTCAAACTGGTAAAAGTCTCGAACTTAGATTAAAACAACATAAATACGTATAGCATTAGAACTGAACAAGATTCCAATGCTCTATTTATTCACGTGAGAGATTTTAACCATCCAATTGATTTTCAAAAAGTTGAGAAAGTTGTATTAAGCAAGTCCATGGTCGACAGAAATATAATTGAATCTTGTTTCATAAAAAGCAGTTTTGAAAATAATATGAATATTTCCTTAGGTTTATATAAATTAGATTCATTTATAATTAATAAAATTTGGTTAGAGTTTAATAATACATTGGACAAATAATAAGCCTTATTTCTTGGGTAGAATATTTTGTTAATGGGTTGTCGTGAGGACCCGTCTAGTTGGACCAGCGGACCTACTGCAGTGTTCCTCTTTTCTTATGAGTCCGGTATTGTCGCGCGCCAGGTGTTTCTTTGTTGTGGGAGTTGACTGTGAGGTGTGGTCTTAGCCCTTTAATTGCCTTCCATTGATGTATTACTTTCATAGTTCCTTGACAATGTGAGTAGTCACGAAAGCGCTTGGAATTTCATTACTCTTTCACAGTGGTTGTTTTGCATATATATATAATTATATATATATATATATATATAATATATATATATATATATATATATAAGCAGAATTATGGACGGGAGGCTTGAACCATAGTCCTGAGAGAGACAGGCCTTATAAGTGTTCTACCGCTTCGGCTACAGGACTTCTAATAAGAAAGTTACATTAGGTAAGGTTCGTCTGGAAATAGGACAAGTGTTTTTTGACGCGGGTCTTAGATGATGACCCGCCATTGGAGCTTTTGGTCATTTGACCGAGGCCTTTCGCTGGCTTACCGGTCCACCCCTTTAAAAATTTTGGTTTTAGTTAAAACCATCTGTTTTCTAATAGAGAAGATTCGGAAATAATACTTCTGTACACAACCTTCACGGCGCGCATAACGGAGATAAAACACCTCAATTACTGGGAGCGCTTGAGGTTCCTAAACCTGTATTCCCTGGAACGCAGGCGGGAGAGATACATGATTATATACACCTGGAAAATCCTAGAGGGACTAGTACCGAACTTGCACACGAAAATCACTCACTACGAAAGCAAAAGACTTGGCAGACGATGCAACATCCCCCCAATGAAAAGCAGGGGTGTCACTAGCACGTTAAGAGACCATACAATAAGTGTCAGGGGCCCGAGACTGTTCAACTGCCTCCCAGCATACATAAGGGGGATTACCAACAGACCCCTGGCAGTCTTCAAGCTGGCACTGGACAAGCACCTAAAGTCGGTTCCTGACCAGCCGGCTGTGGCTCGTACGTTGGTTTGCGTGCAGCCAGCAGTAACAGCCTGGTTGATCAGGCTCTGATCCACCAGGAGGCCTGGTCACAGACCGGGCCGCGGGGGCGTTGACCCCCGGAACTCTCTCCAGGTAAACTCCAGGTAAACATGTACAAAAGGGTATTTAAGCGCTGGGCCTGTCAGTCTCAGGACCACGTTTGGAGCCTCCTGTCTATCTTTCTGTTTATTCGTTGAAAGTCGTTTATTACGATAATCGATTTTATATATATAATATAATATATATATATATTATATATATATATATATATATATATATATATATATATATATATATATATATATATATACACGTGTGTTGGGGGTGTATTTATTGCAAATCTGTAATTCTCTTAAAAGTTTCAAACATTTCTCTCAATAATTGCTGTAGAATTTTAAATTTAATAATCGTTAAAACATATAAAATTCAAAATTATTCTGACAATACTGATAGATATTTAAACAAATTAAATAAGAATCAGAGCGTGTAATAAGAAACACGAAGAGAAAACATTCACTTACTCTGTGCTAAATACATATTGAGAACAGGAGGGTCGGCGCCATGCATATAATAATAGAAAGTGAAACAATGGGGTGTGTCTGGTGGAATATCTTCTGACCGTAACCTAGCGACGATGTTCACCCCCAGTCTGGAGCTAACGAATAAAAAGTGACCTGTGAAGGAAAACATCAACATGTAAAATGGCATTATGTACTGAAGGAAAACATCAACATGTATATATGGTACAATGTACGTGTATTTAACATAAGAGATATAATCTACTCTTATTATTGGAAGTTTTAGTCTAGACTGAAGCTTGCAGAGGACATTTAAACTTCACAAGACAGTGTGTATTCTCAAGCTATTGACAAGTGACTGACTTGTAAGTTATCTCAGATTCGTAAAAAAAGATAACTTAACATCCACACAAGGATCATTAAACGAAACTTACCTATGCGCTACACACTTGTACACTAAACCGCTTAAGTAAATTTTTGATGTATAAACTGTGAAAATTTATTATATATTTCTCTGCTGATATTCTAGTTTTAATCTGTAGATTAAAGGTAATTCTCTATTATTAAATTATTATACTAACTAATACACATGTGTAAAACATCGGTTCGTCTTTAAATTGTTTTAATTAATGAAAGCAGTGAGATAAACTAGAAGAAAAACACTAAGATTCATCTTGAGAGAAAATCATAATTTATACTTGCCTCCAGAAAGCTGAGTTGTGTGGTCTACTGCTGGGCCCAGATCTTCGTATAAACTTGTAGCTAGCATTTCTGAAGTAACTAGTTGCCAGTCTCCACCATCATTTATATACTGACTCCAGCCACAGAGTAAGTTAGCCTCAAAGGTACAAGTGAGCAGTGTATCAGGCGGAGGGGTTGAAGAAGGGCTTGGGGTAGTAGTCACCCCTTTACAAAAGTCAGGAGTCACTTCAATGTCGTCCACAGCAATGTAGGCTAATGAGGTATAAACTGTTAAAATATGCTGCATCGTAAACATATATATTCTCAATTCATCTAACTAATATGCATAGAATATTAAATGTAATGTTTTAGTATATCACTGTCTTGGCTTGAAGCCTCGTTTTAATTTTCATACATATAGTAAGTAAAAGAAATGGTCATAACTATGACCGGTAAGCCAGCGAAAAGCCTCGGTCGCATGACCAAAAGCTCCAACGCCGGGTCATAATCTAAGACCCTCGTCAGGAAGCACTTGTCCTGTTTCCTGACAAACCTTACTTAACCTAACCTAAGACATGCAACATTCACTTTACATCTTGGTTGAGCTATAGTGTCATTCTTGGGGTAATGGATAAATGGCCAATTTACATTGTAATATAATTTTATATTTAGGGTTATAAAAGCGCAACTTGTTACTACAAACCCTAGATCTCAACTTACCATCTTGATTCATAATTATCATAGCTGCAGAATGTAAACGGATGCGGAAGAGATACGTCATGCTTGTGAGAGTGAAACTTTGGAAACTCCATACTTGATTTTGTTCATAAGACAACACGGCAATGTTCTTGCTTAGGTTCTTAGCTACGTCCACAACACTAATGGCTAGTGCATTATTATCTGTTTATAGAGAGAAATAAAATTTCGTGGGGCATATTTTACTTCAGAGTATATACACACACATTACCTACAATATTTTTTTTCACTACTTACCCTTAACATAAAGTGATTTTAACCCCTTAGGTATTATCATTTAATTAAAAAAATATAAAGCAATAACATAATTTTGTTTTCAGCTTACCGTCATTATGAAGGGTATTAATATAGAACTTTAAGCAATAGCTGTCCTTCGCTGGGTAAATATCGACACTCTCCAGGTCAGCAAAACATTGCCCACCAGTGGAGGTAACTTTACATTTACTGGTGTCAGCAATTACATAGTGACCTGGGGAAATAGAAACCCTGTCATGGTTATTTTATACTAGGTATTTTTTTTTTTTTTACAATTAACGTTTTGAATTATATTTTACTGTATTAAAATCATATGATTTGCATTTATGAGGGCACTACTTCCAGACAATATAAGCCGGTATATGACAACGAGACAAATTCAGACTTTGACTTAAGTAAGGGGGCACGAGTATTGTGCAAAATAATTCTTTCCTTCATGGGGAAGGACTAAACCCACAGGGGTCATACAGCGCCTTGGGGAATGGAAGGCATTTAGGCTCGATTCAAGGAACTTGAGCACTGGTCCAGTTCCTTATATCAAGAGCCCCTCACTAGCATCAAAGAACATCCCATGCGGAGACTAAACAGAAGGGAAACCACGTATACGTGGCGGGGTGAGGACGTACACGTTGTTCAATGAATGTTTCACAAGATAATACAAAGTAAAAACTGTTTTTTCCTGGAGATGACAGAATAAACACGAATTGACACACTCAAATTCGCCATCTAATGCTAATTAATCTTTTGATTGAAATGTCTGAGCAATGTGAAAGGAACTTCTAACTCGTAATCAACGGTGTCAGTATTCCGAGTTCAATCGACAAAATGCTTTTCGTCCCATTTCTTTCAATGGCTGTTCATCCATAAATAAACCTTAAGAGAAAATGGTTCTAAACAGTCTCATCCATGAAATTACAACCTTTAAGTCCCTCCAGTTAAATGGCTTCAAGTATGAAAGAAATAAACCACTGTACAATGACAACTATACAACCTTCCATTTTGCTTTTTATAGTTATTCAAGAAACCGGTTACCCGGACTTGAGTCCTGAGGCGGAAAGTACAGTGCCGGCACTCTAAAGGAGAGGTTTGGGATATTTGCTGTTTAGAGTGACTTCTCAACTGTCGTATCTAGTGAATTTATCGAAAAGTGGTTATAAGTGTTGTGGTGACTTTCTGATGAAATAGTTAAAACGAGAAAAATTGGGGGTTATGAGTGAAAATTGTGAGGTGTTGGTTGGAGTGTGAGGGTTCGGGAGGGTGGGGAGGAGGAGAGAGAGAAGGTTACTTCGTGGGGAGTGACCTGAGATGAAATAGTTAAAAACGAGAAAAATGTCTAGACTTGTGTTGTATTTTGTAAAGAAATTGTGGATTGTTGTGGGTATTAACGAAAAAAATGTGAAATTATTTGGATTATCCTGGGTTAAGAGTGAAAAATGTGTAGGGGGAAGTCGGCAAGATTCAGCCTTTGTGTGTGGGGTCATCGTGTGACGTCACTGACATAGGGGGAAGTCGACAAGATTCAGCCTGTATGTGTGAGGTCATCACGTGACGTCACTGACCGCCGAGTAAACACAGGTGGGGTGACGTCACACTTGTTTAGACCTGTAGTAAGAGAAAGTACCATGCCTCATAGGAGGAGTTCATTTGAATGCTTACCCTGAGAGGGGGGAATCCAAAAACTTGATCCGAGGAGATGGAGTCTTGGTATTATCGAGAAAAAAACTTGATCCAAGGAGATCATAAGAATTTCGAAACCCCATAGGGGGGAATCCAAAAGCTTGATCCGAGGAATTGGAGACTTTGTATTATCGAGAAAAAACTTGATCCAAGGAGATGGAGACTTTGATTTCGCGAAAAAAACTTTATCCAAGGAGATGGAGTCTTTGATTTCGAGAAAAAAAATTCGAAAAAATTTGGGATGGGGGTGAAAGTGGGGGGAATCCAAAAAACTTGATCCGAGGAGATGGAGGAGAAATACTTGGACATAGAGGGTAGAAGTGGATGGTGGGGGAAATATTTGTATTATTGATATCGAGAAAAACTTGATCCGTGGAGATGGAGCAGGAATATTTGGGGGTGGAAGGAGGGGGTACCCAAAAATTTGATCTGAGGAATTGGAGTCTTTGTATTATCGAGAGAAAAAAATTCGAAAAAAATTTGGGGTGGGGGTGAAAGTGGGAGGGGCAATCCAAAAAACTTGATTCGAGGAAGTGGAGAGCACAATAAAATGAAATTCAAAAAAAAAATTGAAAAAATCGGAAAAAAATTCGGGGAGCGGGGGCGATCCGGACGACGCTGCAGAAGGCGCAGCAGAAGGCACGGGCGGGCGCGACGGACGGGTGGGTCGGCGCGAGGGCAGGGGCGGGTGGGGGGCGCGAGGGCGGGGGCGGGTGGGGGGCGCAGGGGCGCAGGGGGGGGGTGCGAGGGGTGGGGTTGAGGGTGAGGTGGTCTCGAGGGTGAGGTGGTCTCGAGGGCGAGGTTCCATATATATATATATATAATATATATATATATATAATATATTATATATATAATATATATATATATATATATAATATATATAATATATATATTATATATGAATTGACACAGTTACTTTTTGCTGATGATACTGTGCTTATGGAGATTCTAAAGAAAAATGCCTGCACTTAAGGAGGGTTTGGGATATTGGCAGTTTGGAGGGATAGTTTGTGTATCTTTATATGTGTATGCTTCTAGACTGTTGTATTCTGAGCGCCTCTGCAAAAACAGTGATAATGTGCGAGTGTGGTGAAAGTGTTGAATGATGAAAAGTATTTTCTTTTTGGGGATTTTCTTTCTTTTTTGGGTCACCCTGCCTCGGGGGAGACGGCCGACTTGTTGAAAAATAAAAATAAAATATATAAATATATATATATATATATATATATATATATATATATATATATATATATATATATATATATATATATATAATATATATATATATGACAGATTAGTTTAGAAACTAATATAAAAAATACAGTTACAGCTCAAAATAACACAAACACGTCATTACAATTCAGGTAATGCAAAAAATTATCGAACGTCAGATAACACAAACACGTCATTACAGGTCAGATATTGCAAAAATTTCTTCACAGGTTCATAAATACAAATCATCAGCTACGGTGAAAAGCACAGTACTCGCTCCCATTCTATTCCTCATCCTCATATCTGACATAGACAGAGATGTAAGCCATAGCTCCGTGTCTTCCTTTGCGGATGACACCCAGATTGCCAAGACAGTGACCTCCATCGAAGACACCGCAAGACTTAAGTAATAAGTTTATTCAGGTATACACAAATACAGTTACATAGAATTATCATACATAGCAGCATATGTGTAGATAACCTAGGATAACCCAAAAAAAGTCAGACACAGTGACTTATTTCCATTGGGGTCCTTCAAGCGGACATTAACCAAATGTGCAAATGGGCCACTCAAAACAATATGAAGTTTAATGAAGGGAAATTTCAACTACTCACATATGGAAAACTTAAGAAATTAAAACTGTATCAGGGTATACGGCAAATTCTAACTGTACAATAGAGCGAAAAAGCAATGTGAGGGACCTGGGAGTGATAATGTCAGAGGATCTCGCCTTCAAAGACCACAACAATGTATCTACCGCATCTGCTAGGAAAATGATAGGATGGATAATGAGAACCTTCGAAACTAGGGACGCCAAGCCCATGATGATTCTCTTTAAATCGCTTGTTCTCTCTAGGCTGTAATACTCCTGTACACTAACTGCCCCCTTCAAGGCAGGGGAAATTGCTGATCTGGAGAGTGTACAAAGAACTTTCATGGCACACATAAGTACGATAAGGCACCTAAATTACTGGGAACGATTGAAGGCCCTTGATTTGTATTCCCTGGAGCGCAGGCGAGAGAGATACGTTATAATATACACTTGGAAGGTCCTGGAGGGATTGGCACCAAACCTGCACACGAAAATCACTCCCTATGAAAGCAAAAGACTCGGCAGGAGATGCAACATTCCCCCGATGAAAAACAGGGGCGCCACGAGTAACCTGAGAGACAACACAATAAGTGTCCGAGGCCCAAGACTGTTCAATTGCCTCCCAGCATACATAAGGGGGATTACCAATAGACCCCTGGCTGTCTTCAAGAAGGCACTGGACAGGCATGTAAAGTCAATACCTGACCAACCGGGCTGTGGTTCGTACGTCAGTTTGCGTGCGCTCAGCAGCAACAGCCTGGTTGATCAGACCCTGATCTACCACGAGGTCTGCTCTCAGACCAAGCCGCGGGGGGCGTTAACCCCCGGAACCCTCTCCAGGTAACTGCAGGTAGGTTAAATAATTCAAACATAAGTTATCACAGGTCAAATAATACAAATACAAGTCATTAGAAGTCAAGATAAAACGCACGGTATCACAGGTTAAATACTTTGGATAAAATAATATCTGAAGCATAGATGAAATTGATCCATTTTGGGGTCAATTCTGCATGTAATCTACAGCGCCAGCTGGCTTGTCATGTACTCCACTTGGTAGACCTACTGTTTTTACTTTGCCTTACATAATTATACTTTTTGATTAGAGCACACGCAGCAATTCCTCCTCCCACACACACTTTATACAAATCCAATAAACAGCTTACACCTTGCTTCATTTTATTTTCTCCCATTTTCGATCCTCCAAATGACGGATCACGGTCGACAATTTGGATTTGGACCCACTAGTCCTAGGGATTCGGTTCGAGGAGTGACTCGATGTCACTGGTAGTGTTACCCACGACCTTAATTATTTAATGCCACTGACTTCCTCTACATAACCTATTTCATCTTTATTGCCCATTTTAATGAATGAATTATCGTGCTGTAGATGTCTAGGCAGCCTGTGGCCTCAGTGACCCCTCATGTGCTCGGCAGATCTTAAACCTGACTAACTTCGTATGCACTGTGTGTAGTTGGGTCGATTTCCAGCATGGGTGGATATTATTTCTGATGACCTGCCTATTCCTTTTTGTGCATGCAACCTATTTAGTGGTTTATATTTTTTTAATTCTTGTTAAGTTTTATTTACAAGCTAGGAGCTGTAATCCTACCTTAAGTCTTTTCAAAGCCTTAGCCTAGTGTCGGTAATAACTTTACGGTATGGCATATCCCCAGGATACAACTTACAAGAGTTAAGTAACACACACCTATACACTGCTCTGTGGGTGTACATGATAACAGATACAATGAGACTACATTAGGGATTGTGTAAGACTTTCAACAGCTGTTCTTAGCAGATGTCTGCTGGCTCACTATCTGCTGAGCACTATATACCGAGGTGCTCTGATAATTATCTCATTGAGACATCAATACATATTGCTCAACCTGTTATATCCTCCGCACTAACAAATTATTACTGTCAGTTACAGACTAATACGAGTATTCAAAAACTATTACGAGAAAATAATATTAAAAGCCTGCTGCAAAATGTAACTGGTGGCCTGGTGGTTAACGCTCTCGCTTCACACGGCGAGGGCCTGGGTTCGATTCCCAGCCAGAGTAGAAACATTGGACATGTTTCTTTCCACCTGTTGTCTATGTTCCCCATCAGTAAAATGGGTACCTGGGTGTTAGTCGACTGGTGTGGGTCGCATCCTGGGACACTGACCTAATTTGCCCGAAATGCGGAGCATAACAAGGGACTTTCTATATAGTAGTATGTCATTGTTGTCAGCTAGGACTGTATACCCTGTACATGTACTTGTAGTAAATAAAGATATTATTATTATTATTATGACTAAAAGACCCGCGTCAGGAAACTTCCTGTTTTCTGACAACCATTATACTACTACTACTACTACTACTACTACTACTACTGCATGCTCCATAACAAACCTTTGCCGGAGAGAGTGGTGTGATCAACTTCGAGACCACTGGGTCCATCTTCTGCTGTGTACCATATCCAGTTGTTGGTGGTGAAGAGGGACGAGACTAAACTTAGGTCTGTCCAACCACACAATCCATTCTCAAATGTGCATGACCCAGGATCACCACATGTTCCTCGTACAATGGAAAGATCATCCCAGGCCATGGCGCCTTCATTGCCAGTCCTACGAACACCTTCCAAGATTATCTGTTCTTCGGAAAAATTATTTGAGATTATTTTCAAAATCGTGTAATATTAATAATTTCATAATAAGGTGAAAGTAAATGTATAAGTGTACTAAGCTCTTAAAACTATTTTCATTAAAACATTCATAAAATTAGTGAAATGATATTAGCACAAGTGTTTGGATGAAAAATTATCTAATTCTTCTACTGTAAATTTTATATTTCTTCGTTAACCAATTAAGTGTCCTCGTGGCCTGGATACTAAAGCTCTCGCTTCACACGGCGAGTGTCCAGGTTCGATTCCCGGCGAGTATAGAAATATTTTCTCCATGGGGAAGTAGAGCAGAATTCTTCCTCCGTAAGCCATGCGTGTCGTAAGAGTCGACTAAAATACCGGGAGGAAGGGGCTAGTAACCCCTTCTCCTGTATATATTACTAAAGTTAAAAAGAGAAACTTTTGTTTTTCTTTTTGGGCCACGCTGCTTCGGTGGGAAACGGCCGATTTGTTGAAAGATGATATATCTTTAGAAATATTTTCATCCAACTTTTTCTTACAATGGTTGTGTGAGCGTTCGAGCATGCACTACATTCAGACCTACATTAATCTACAACTGAAATAATCGCATTATTTTAGCTAGTGTCACATTTCAAACAGTAATAACTTACACTAAATTCCTGGTCATTTTTGAGAGTGACCTGACCGAACTGCCATTTATTACCGAAGTCAACAGTATGCTGCCAAATCCGTTCTGATAATTCGGTGGTCAACAGACGGACACCAAGTTCTCCTACAGGATCCGAGGGGCTGAAAAAATACAAAAATATAATGAATATTTTTCATATCAGTATTAATACTGCAAAATGTTTAGATATGGGAGTATATTACATATACTGACATTATTTCCAAGCTGGAATAAGTAGTGTATACAATGCCTAGTTTGGCTATAAACATTACCCTATATATCTAAATTAATTTCAGACAGTATTCGCATATTTTTCTACATGTTAAAATAAAATGTGTACAACACTAAAGTGAAGTTACATAAAATATTAGTAGCAACAGAAAGGGAGTGAGAACAAGATACAATGTTCAGTCACTTGCGGGTCTGAAAGTAATAAACAAAGAAATGTTGAATGGGTTAATTTAATGATTACGACAACAAAAATTATTGGACTCCATCACAAGTATTACGACAACAAAAATTACTGGACTCCATTACAAGTGAAAATCTTAACTTCTTTAGCTTATTTAACTTATCTTTGTTATTCAGTAACTCATAAATAACTACTATATTTCTGAAATTAATTATACTTTCACAAATTAGAGCAACACTGAGGCCCAAAATATTTTTATACCCTAAAGTTAGGTCAAGCGAGCTATAGTATGAAACAATATGGAGAAGAAGTGACAGGATTGAGCTTTTTATAGCGCCAAGAGATGAGACGTAGGCCACTAGGAGAGGTAAGAACTCAGATGTTGAGAGGTCAGGTCCCTCTCAAATCCAGCCCCTCTCACTAGTGGAAGTTGTCGAAGTTGATTGCAGGTCTGTACCAAGATACCCTTGTGTTGTAGTGTCTGACAGATTGAACATTAAAATGGTATAAAATACCAACAGGTTGTTATGCAACAGTTAGGTATCTTTATTATGAAACGTTTCGCCTACACAGTAGGCTTCTTCAGTCAAGTACAGAAAAGTTGATAGAAGCAGACACTGCAACACAAGGGTATCTTGGTACAGACCTGCAATCAACTTCGACAACTTCCACTAGTGAGAGGGCTGGATTTGAGAGGGACCTGACCTCTCAACATCTGAGTTCTTACCTCTCCTAGTGGCCTACGTCTCATCTCTTGGCGCTATAAAAAGCTCCATCCTGTCACTTCTTCTCCAAGCGAGCTAGCTCCCAGATAAAGGCCATCTGGATGATAAATGTTCAGGTCATTGCTAGAGAGCTAAAAACAGCACAATAAAAAAATACCGACGCAGCATGAGTTGGCCACTGGTAGACGAGACCTCCATGTTGTCGTGAAATTATTTCAAGTTCCTTAATAAAATCTATATGCGTATATAGAATAAATCTACAGTAGTAGATTTCAAGCCAATTTACCAACAAGAGCTCAAATTCATGCCACGTAGTTTAACTCTTATTGGTTTAAATAAATCAACAGTTTTATAATGTATAAAGGATATGGGCAGTTGGAGGAAGTAGTCAGTACGTACAAGGATATAGAACCATGTTAAGGGGCCCAAGAGACATTTGGAACGCAGCGTATTTGGTCAGAAATATGAGTCAATTACCGCATGGCGTCACGATTCAATATTTTACCCCTTCCCCCCCATAAAAAAAAATGAAATAATACTGACGTTGTGTATAAGCGTCACTTTAACAGTTCTTTCACACTAGTACGTGAGTTTGTCCAGACTAAATCACATATATGGCACAAGAAAGTAAAGGCTGTGTGGTAGTAAGACCCACCAGTCACTATATTGTTTGACGCCTAGTGAAAATAGGGTATTAAGTATGCTAAACAACCACTGCGAAAAAATAGTTAACCCCAAGCGATCTCGTGATTTCTCACATTATCGAGAAACTGTAAAAATAATAGAACAGCAGAAGGCTTACAAGGCCGAGATAACACCTCACGGTCAACATCCTACACCCCAACCGTCCCTTTATGATGATGCGGGCGAGATGGTCATGAATTTGTCAAACATAGCTTATCTTTTATTAATTATAAATGAATCTAATTTGTATAATACTAAACAAATATTCACATTAAAATCAAAGCTATTTTTTATGAAGCTTGATTCAATTATATTTCTCTTAACCCTAGACCTGCTTGGTACAACTTTCCCAATCTTTTGAAAATTAATTGGATAGTTAAAATCTTTCACATGAATAGAGAGAGCATTAGACTCTTGTCCAGTTCTAATGCTATATTTATGTAGTTACAATCTTGGTTCCAGGTTTTTTCCAAATTGACTGTAATAAACTTGATCACAATATAAATATAAAATTAGAACTGGGAGAGTGTCTAATGCTCTGTTTATTCATGTGAGAAATCACGAAAGCACTTGGAAGTTCACTATTTTTTCACAGTGGCTATTTTGCACATTATGATATCACCTATTCACTGTGATCTTATTGCAAAGGGTATTAAGTGTTATAGTATAAGCGAGACTAGATGGTATCCTTAATACAGAATCAACTGCATGACTGGAGAATACAGCGTAGGGCCATTCAGTATTTTCATGATAAAGTATTTCCAGATAAATATTGTGAATTTATTAGTAAGAATCGAAGCCAGACACAATCACCAGAAGACGTAATCCCAAGCAGGCAAAGCCCCCAGTACGTGCAAGCTTCCCCCCAGGCACAGCCCCCAGCAGGCACAGTCCCTAGTAGGCACAACCCCCAGTAGGCAGAGCCCCAGTAGGCACAGCCACTAAAAGGCAGTCCACCGTATCATATACCCTTTCTATATCGATAAATACAGCAGTTCCTTACCCACATATAACTGATGTACACTTATATGCTTCAGTGTAATTAATTGGTCCTTGCATCCCATATCCTCCTAAGTTATCCTTGCTCCTCTATGATCCTACTTTCTGTCTTACCCTTAAAACTTTCATTAATAATTTTACCGTCCTATCCAATATACAGAACAGGCTTTATTACCTTATTTATAAGTCTTACACTCTCTCGTCCCCTTTTTCATTTACACAAAGGAATATGCATGTTCCTTGCCAATTCTTAGGTACCTTTCCTTATTTCGTGCATATGTTGGATAAATACACCAATCAGTCCAAAATTATATCCCCACCTGCTTTTAACATGTCTTAATCCAATACGTCCCAGCATCTTGATTCCACTGCCTCATGCACTTGTCCCCTAGTCTCCCTCAGCTCTTCTGTACACCTACCTGATATTATTTCTACCTGCACTAGGCATATCACCGCTTACCTATCATCATCAATATTTAACAACTAATTACATATTATCTTCATCCTTTTAGTTACTTCCCCTCCCTACCTAATGTCTTCCCTCTCTCCTTTTTAACTAGCAAGTTCATTTGCTCCTCAGGTTTCATTAAGTTATTAATCTCTCCACAACTTTTATCTTATTCCCAGCAAAATTTGTTGATAATCATCCATTCTTTTTCTTTAGATCATCTTTTGCACTTTGTCACGCGTTTTAATATTAATAAATTATTATTATTATTATTATTTCACGGGAAAATACTAAAAACCTATAGGAGTCATGCAGTACTTGTGGAATGAGAGACAATTAAGCTTGATTCAAGGATGGGGAGGATAGCTCTAATTCCCAAGTAAAATTGAGAAGGCCATGAGAAACTTTGCAGTAATTCTCTAAGAAGAAAAAAATAAATGAGGAACATCAAGAATACTATCTATTAACATAATAAAAATGTAAGAAAAAAAAACTCACTCGTAGAAGTATAAGTAGAACCAGAATTGGAAACAGTCTCCCTCAGGTGTGGTGGTGTTGATGGTAGGACTCCTAAAGTAAGCTTTCTGGTCATTTTGTCCAGGTTCCAGAGGCAGGTACAGGAAGTGACCATCAGGTGTGTCCAGAGAATGATCAGACCTAAACACGATTATGTTTTATTAATAAACTGAGGCATACGACTTAAATTGTAGTTTAATACTCATTTTCTTTCATTTTTTTTTTTTTTTTTTTTTTTTAACTTTACGGTTGTCTCCCGCCAAGGCAGGGTGACCCAAAGAGAACTTTTAAATGAGCTGATGTAGGTAACAGCTCTTAGCTTGCAAATAAAGTTAGGAATATTTAACTTAACCTTGTAAAACCCTGTGTTAAAAAAACAAAAACACTTTCAACACCATTCATTCAATCGCCGTCTTTCCAGAAGTGATAAATAACTATCAGATTTTATCAAAAAACTGCTAAATACCCTGCAAGGCTCTTTCAGGCATTATTTTTTTTATTTGTGGTACTGAATTCAGTTAGTTACATTTAACAAAGGTTTCTTACTAGGTATTCATATTAATGTATATAAATTTACGATTTTTTGGAGGGAGAGCAAGGCCTAATGCTTAGAAGAAAATTTAATTAAAAGGCTAAATCAATGTAGGCTATAACTTATGCTAAGACGTGAACAGATAAAAAGGAATCATGTACATATGAATTTGATTGTGCAACAACAACTAGACTACTGATACACCATATATAATTTTGCAGTGAAATTATCCAAGCAATTCACCCCAACCTTACTAAATCATATTTTATATAAAATAGTATAATTTATCTGACCCATCTAAGAATTCGCATAATTTTAGCTCACTGTTTTCCTAGAGGGACAAGGAATCTTTAGGTAGTTCGAATGACTTATGTATCATTGTATTCATTCAGTTTTCTTCCATTTATCAGCAAGTTTACTCTAGCAGTCATACAATACACTACGAGAATACTAACGTTGGAGCATTCTGAATATCACCTCGGCCACTGCCGTAGATCCACACGAGAATATCAGTACCATCGCTGTAATTCATCCAGTCACAAGCTTCAGAAATATCATCAAAGGAACAGCTGAAGGTTGCTGGACATTGACCATTGATCATCTCTACATTATCAAGACGTACTGCGTTACCACTTTGTTCACTTACAAAGTGCACCTATGGAAAGACGAAGGTAAATGCACATAGAAAATGTGAGCCTGTACATTTTAAACCATTGACTCTTTCGTGTAAATAACAAATACAAAGCATTAAACAAGCTAATTAGTTAAGTATTTCAATCTTACCTAATAAATACTTAATAAAATTTTACCCTTATATAATAATAATTGTAGCCACTAATATTAAGGGATGCAAAGAGTATCACGATATCACAGTGAATATACGCTGAGAGGAGAGTATATATACACTGTGGTATATTAACGTGAATAACACGTTTGGTTTAGCTCTCACTCATTCATTATTTCTCTTTATATTTAAAAACTTTTTTAAATTAGCGTGTAAATGTTTTGAGCTTCTGCTTCTAAATTTACTTATTGCAACTGAGGGAAGAAAGGTACGTGCAGTTAATGTCTCTCGGCTGACTGTATAAAGTCAGATATATTTTTATTTGAAATAGTTCTTGATTGATGGGTACATGTGAATTTCTCCCTTAGAGCGTTAAATTCACGACACTAATATTTCACTTTGTTTTTGAAGATTACTAAAGGAAACAAATCCCACCTTCTTGTATTTCAGTTTTATGCAAACCAATACAATATCAACTTATAATGAGGGAGGCAATTAAATTTAGAGAACGTTAAATAAACAATGCCTAGTTAGTGTTTGTTGTTATTCTTCCAGTAATTCACAGCACCACTATCAGTTACGTTTCCATCAATAATTGTTATCTACATTGTGGAGAGATTACCTTGAGTGGTTTTTTCTTAAACAGAGAAAATATAACATTCATATAAGCATAAAGACTTATACGATATGTACGCTCACACCTACTTAATTCCGCTAGAATGACCCGTGAAATATAAAATGAAAATACATTTCATCTGCTGCCACCGTGCACAACTTTTCAATTAAAGTTACCTAATTAGTTTCAAAAAGTGATGAAAATTTAGAATTCATAATACTGTCTTACATTACACAACTTAAAATATCACCTGAAGTTGGACGTCGACATTGAGCTCTATGTGTTGTGTCCGCCACACAGCGATGCCTGTTTGGTTCTCTCTCATCCACAGTGTATCAGTCCTTTCCTCCGTCACTAGTATCACTGTCAGCTTCGTCTCCTTCTCAACCACATAACTGTGTTGGGAAACACCAATTAAACATTAAGTTAAAATACCGGCATCTACTGTATGTTATGAGGAAATGCTGAACTCTTTCTTAAATTTTAACGTTTCATAAGCAAATGTTGCTACATAAGTTGGATTCGGGAACACTGGACTCGCAAAAGGCTTAAGACTCCTTATTAGTCTTAGGTTCATTCATTCTCCAAGGAAATTCTGTTTTTATACAATCCCATTACTTACAAATAATTTTCTCTCTCTATTTAAATTGCACAGATATAACCCGCACATAGAAGATTAAAACTTATGACGACGTTTCGGCTCAACTTGGAACATTAACAAGTCATACAGAAGCGCGAAAGTGAGTCAGAATATATACGAAAATGAGACGGTGGCCGCCCCACTCTCTCATATATTCTGGCATCTTTCCCTTCGCACTTGTGTGTGACTTGTTAATGGTCCAAGTGTAACCAGCCTTACTAGAGATATTAACAATGCAGGTGTATATTTCGCCTGCTCTTGCGAATTCTTTGCATTGTTAATATCTCTAGTAAGGCTGATGCATGCAGGGGATGAGATGAAAAGCTGTAAGCCTTCTCCCTGAAAGCTGGCTGCCTTGGATCAAAGTCTAGCGCAAGCTGGACTCCAAGGTATTGGTCCAGTGTGGGTAGATTGGTAAAGCACTGCGTACCTTGTTCCAAGGTTCGTAGGTTCGAGTCTCCTTCAGCCAGAGATCAGTGTTTGTGTATATTTCGCCTGCTCTTGCGAATTCCTTGTATATATATATATATAATATATATATATATATATTATATATATATATATATATATATATATATATATATATATATATATATATATATATATATATATATATATAAAGCAACAATTTCTGTATCAAGAATCCATCAGTTATTAAATGACAAAATATACCCAGAGTTAATGTAAAGTGGCTGAAAAAATATTATAGTACATTTATAGAGCCACACTACAACAGTTGGAAGTCTACCACATAAACCTAACTTGTTAGGTGAAATATGAACTATCATTCATCTCAAATTACAATGTTGTGCACATTATGTAAGACATAGGTATTGTATCTGCAGTTTTTCATAATAGTTTTAACAAAACCAAATTGCTATCCCGATGTGTAAGAATATTCCAGACCTACTGGAAGGATTCACACTGGATAAAATGAATCCATTCAATAACTGCATCTCAAGGCATTTAACAGAAGTTCTATAAATATCATATACTAAGTCAAAAATCATTGATCGTGCAACATTTAGTATTAATGAAAATCGTCGAAAGATTTAAAAGAAATGCTATTGTGAAAGTGCTACGAATAGCATGGAAAACCGAGTCTCCAGTTAAGACACTCACCTGAAGGAGAGGCAGAAATTTGAAATCGTTGGACGATACCACCACGTTTGCATTGTAGCAACACCTATTTCATTTTTTGGTGTGATCAAGAACTTATCTGCAGACAATGAGAAACAAAAATATGCTTCAAATAACACATATGTTGGCATCATTTCGTATTTAAAAAAATAATATATATTACAATATATATTATTTATTGATATCCAGTGCGTACCACTGACTGTCTGTCATTATATACACCGAGAGGTATCCCTCAGTGCATAAAGACCATGATATGCCTCTGTATATTCACCAAGAGGTATCCTTCAGTGAATAAACACCAACCTGTGCTTCATTGTATATGCACTAGGAGGTATACCTCACTGTATAAGCATGTTTCATTGTATATACAAGAAGGAATCTCTCCGTGTATATACAATGAGACTTAAGGTATTTCTGAACATATATACACAGGTGCTTAACAATTCGTAAACAGGCGAAATTATTTACATTGTCTCTGCGTCCACAGCAGAACTCGAACCTGCAAACTCTGTATTAGAGTAACCAGTACTTTACCACCGAGAGATATGTATCTCTCAACGTAAACAGAGTTAACTTTAATCCTTATTTTATGGAATAAAGTTTTATTTATATTAGTGTACAAGTTACTTGCTGCCTGGGTAACCCACGAATAGTCGATAGGCTTTAAACCTAATGAGACTATACGAAAATCTCACATCTGCTGCACCTGTTCACCTAGAAGTAAACAGATTCCGGGTTGTTCGTCGACTGTTGTCGTTAGCATGTTGTGGATGTCAAGGAAAGAGAAAGGGACGCTGCATACCTATTAGATAAAGCAGAGTTCTGAAATGAACTGAGGTCGGATAACAGCTCTTAGCTTGAAAATTTACGTGTGAAAAGCAAAACTGATTGCGTAGAAATTAAAAATGAAGTGATCCAAGATAATAAAGAGCCTACGGGAAGAAATAAAAGCCCTACAGCATTCAACAGCAGCACTCATCGAGCTTCTTGCAAGTTTACAGTGCTTCTCTCGTTATATGTGATGTAATTCGAAAACTATACCTAACCCCTTCACGTGTATATATGCACCAACAGGTATGTTTGGGTGGCTGCGACTGAAAAACGCCTGGGGAATTGGAAGTAACGAGATTTGATCCAAAGAAGGGAACGGTAGCCCCAATTCTCTAAATTAAGCGCCCTTCACCAGCATCAAGGTATCCCTCCCTGAAGGGAGGAGAGGGATGACTCTTACCATCACGGTGAGCAGGACTGGCTGTGAGCTGCCAATCTATGTCGTCATCATGACTCTGGAAGAGCTCACACGGCTTCTCAAAGCTACACCTCACTTCTTCCTGCGCAACAGTATTGTGTAACTTTAGCTAACAACTTTATGTGTTGGATAAATAGATCAATGAGCTACTTGTATTAGCAGTAATTAACATGTCAAGTTTTATATTCAACTTGTAATGCAATCCATTACATGTTAATTACAAAATATGCTAGCAAACCGCCTCATCAGATACCAGAAGTCTCAAACAAGATAAAATATTAATTAACAATTTCTACAAGTGCAAAAATAGGCGAGGATAAAATACATTTTCAATATTATCTTTAGTGATTATATGAAGATACGAAATGAGTGTTGGCGGTATCCAAAATTGTATACAGAGTAAAAAATTCATAACCTTTAAATACAGTATAAAGTTTAATCTTTACTATACTGTTGCTAGTACTTATTTCTTTGAAAACAAGAAAGTTAATACAAAAAATTACCGTAAATGCTGGAGTTTTGGGGTCGCACCATTTTAGTTGGATGTCATCCACACACGCGTCATTGTAAAAACCATCTTGCTTCCCCCAGTTGCTAATCAGTTTTAACTGGAAGTGCAGATTTAGATTATAATGAGATTATAAGGAATATTTTACAAGAGGAATACAGAATAAAATTAGGCGTTTACTGGTCATCTAGACTTCTACAGTATCAACCTTACAACTTGCAACTTCCAATAGAAACTTACATATTATTGTTGCTCTAATTAGTCTAATTCATCCAAACAACACCAATAACATGTTGTCTGCTCATCAATTCACGTATAAAAAAATAAAAATATATGATGAGATTAAATAAATGAATCTCTAGCCCAGATGCCTCGAAATTTTGAACATTAACAAATTCTGTGGATCTAACCTCATTACTGAAAATTTTCCATATTTCATTTAATTTTGTATCGCATCTAAAAATATCTAGTGAAAATTATCAAACAAAATGAGATGTTATAAAAAAATCATCCATTAATAAAGGAATATATTCTGAACGAAATGTTACGCAAACAAAATTACTGTGAACATTACTTTCTATGAACGATGAGTGCAGATCCTAACACGGCAGTTTAAGATTTCCTAATTAGAGTGAATGTGAGTGACATCACATAAGCTATATTTTCAGATTAAGTCTTGTACCCACTTAACCCATTATGTTACAAAAAAAATATAACACTTACATAGAGTTTTTCATTATATTCGCCAATCTCATGTTGATATTCCTTCCAATTTAAATTTTCATTCGCAGGGAAATACACCTGCCAAATATAGTTCTCTTTTTCTGAATTAAAGATTATCCTGAGATCAGGCACTTTACCCAAACGTTGATACCATAAGACCAAGGTGCATGGCACGATAACTGGTCCGAACATTGTAGATTCTTGTATTGCTGTTGCTGGCGACTCACCATCTGAAACACAAGCAGAATCACACTGGATGGACAAAACTCTTGACTGAAATAACCTTAAAAGTGCAGAATCACGCCGGAAGTTGTATAGACTCAATAAACTGATACCGAAAATGATTCACTAAAACAAAGTTACTGATAGCGAGCTGCTTCAAGGAGAAGCTCCCTGAACTCTCTTGCCGTAGCGAAGGATTTCTTGATTCAAAGAATTGGGCCTCTTTCATTCCTCGGATCCAGTTTAATTACCCCCGAACTCACTCACTCACTCTCTCTCTCTCTCTCTCTCTCTCTCTCTCTCTCTCTCTCTCTCTCTCTCTCTCTCTCTCTCTCTCTCTCTCTCTCTCTCCTTTTCGCCTCATTAAGAACATAAGAACATAAGAAAGGAGGAACACTGCAGCAGGCCTGTTGGCCCATACTAGGCAGGTCCTTTACAATCCTCACTGACAAAATATTTGCCCAACCCAATTTTCAGTGCTACCAAAGAAATAAGTTTTGATGATTCTATTTACTCATTATGCAAGAACATTTTCCATTTTGTAAAGTCCAGTTACTAGACAAAGAAAAAGATATCGCTATCAGCCCCTTCCGTTGGAAGTGCTGTGGTGGTTGAGTCATTCCATAAGATAGAAACTGGATCATCTTAGGGGGCTTCAGGTGACCGTTCGGTGTGAAACTGAGTGGCCCTCTGGCGGGACCTCTAAGGCTCACGTACCACAGAAATTTTCCTGAGGATACGGGAATGACAACCGAATGTGACTCCAGGCGTTCTTTCCAGTTTCCCGCTGCCTTTATTAACTGAAAAACTACTGTACAGTTCGTGTTTTTATCTAAGCAGGCTATCTTCGCTAAGCCTTGCTCAGTCAATGCTGGAGGTGCCATTCTGGTGTTGTACACCAGGTAAGATAAGAGGTGGTTTCCAAAGAACGTAACACTACTTATCACAGCGGTGACCGTGGGTCAGGGTGGGTACGTAATTCCTTTTTCATTTATTCTCAGAGTAGGCCCCAGTTTTTATTTTAGGATGAATAAGACATTACCGTATTCTCCTTGATCTTCTGTGTCTATAACACCCTCTGCTTTAGAACCCTAAACCCCGTTAGGCAACCACTTGTTCCCCAGACCAGTACTGGCGTTCTGCCTATCCCTTTTGGTACCTCTGATCCCTGTCTGAACTTCAGTATGGAAGCGGCTTCATTCACCGTGCAACGATGGTTCACGGATCGTATGCGCACCAAAGGACAGAGTAGCTCAAGACCATCTGTTAAGCGATGGCGACAGACATGCGACAACGCTGACATAGCACACACACACCTCGATCACATACTAAAACATAAGCCACCTAAAAACCTCTCTCACTAAGAGAAATCTTCCAACGAATCCTGAAATATACCCGAATGACCACAAACTTCACCAAGAATTCGTTACCCACATAAGCCAAGTCATCTTTTCTCTCAAGAAAGTGGGATGCTCATTAACTAAGTTAATGATGCTGACCAGGCTGATAAAGTACGGTGTCTCCACATAACTGGCTGGGTCGCGGTGACCATATGTACACGCCACCCTTAACTAATGACACACTCATCAGACTGTGCTTTGAACATCCATATACAATTAGAACTACAACATCTTCCAATCACCCTGCTTGCGGATGGAGACAGTACCACCCAACTGATATTTGATTGCCATGAACTTCCCGAGAGGCCAGGTCATGGACCGGGCCGCGGGGACGTTGACCCCCGGAACACCCTCCAGATACACTCCTTCCTCAATACATTTGTATCAGCAGGTCAGCCATTGACGGTAACTCACACTAATACCCCAATGCCACAAATGCAGGTAACTTAGCCAACCGGCAAAATACTGCAGATCACCAGAAAAATTCCAATAATGTGACCGACTCTCTTCCTGCCTTAATTGCAGTGAGCACAACCTCGTATTCTCGTCAATGTCCAGTTGTCTTCTGGGAAAACGAGATCCGGTGTTTGAGGGAGAAAGAGGATGCGTCATACTTAATTTTAAGTTGTGACCCAACTACACCAGGGAAGAAATGCCATATCTCTCTTTTACTCCAGGGATGCCGGTAACCTCAGCACCCAACGATGACCGTAACCACAGCTAATCTAATGTTGAACCCTTACGATGTCCTTACCTCTGGCATTCTTATCTCTTTACTGTCAACTTTACCATCAGAGTCCTTTCCAGCTGTTCTTCCAGCGCCTGCGCCAAAACCTCAAAAGATCTAAAAACCTCGCTCCTCTAGACCTCATTTCTTCCCTCATGATCCATTCACGGTTTGACTTCAGATAAACTACTTCAAACGTTGTCCCCGTCTACATCCATAACAGTCTCAGAAATAAATGATTTTATTAGGTTTTTAAAAAAGTCGGAACCGACTGGTATATCAAATACTGTTAGGGTGGTGTAATGAATGAATGAAGAAGGGTGCAGCCAATATAGTATTACCACACGGACATCATCTGATCCCACCACCATAGGCTTACTGCGAGACAAAGCCGACCAAACGAACTCATTTCGGAGGATAAATTGATTATATACACGACTGCGAGTTTAGGACTATTTATAATGACTAGGGAATGATAGGAGACTCCATTTGATCGCAGAAGGCACAGTAAGTCAGGGCCCAAAGTACATAATGGCAGCTAAAATCCCCAAAGACGAGGTGACAAAAGCCTGTATGGTTTCTGAAGACAATGCTCCAGAGGAAGTAAAAAGAATATATATATATATATATATATATTTATATATATATATATATTATTTATATATATATATATATATATATATAATATATATATGTGTCGACCGAATAGTCAGAACTTGCGATCTTGGATTAAAAAGCAACGCTCTTCTTGCCATATAGGACAAGCGAAAATTTGTGTATGCAATAATTTCGCCAAAAACATTCTAAACCTAACGAAAAAAATATATTTCACTGTGTTTGTTTAGTATTAAATTATTGTAAACAAATCTAAAATATATTTAGTTAGGTTAGGCTAAAATAAATTGCGCTTGCTGTAATAAGGTTAGGTAAGTTTTCTAAATTCCTTTTGGTGCAAAATTATATATTTTTACATCAACATTAATGAAAAAAATATATCTTTAAACGTATAAAAGAAAATTTTAGAAAGGACTTAATTTTAAATGAGTTCTTGCTAATTGACCAGTTTTACATATTCGGCACGACACACACACACACACACACACACACACACACAATATATAATATATATATATATATATATATATATATATATATTATATATATATATATTATATATATATATATATATATATATATATATATATATGCTGTTTACTGAGATAAATCTGGGCCTCAGCACTGTGAAGAAGAGATCACCACCCAAGAAAGAAAGATTGTTGCTAAGTTTAGTTTCATTAATGGAGTAACAATTTTTTTTAAGATCAGCATCTGAAGATTTCTTGTAGTTTAAGATATGTTTAAAATATGCAGTCCAAAGTATGTTTAAAATATATATAATTAAATCCAGTATCTCAGTAACATTTATTATTGCATAAACAAACTCTGGAAAATAGGAGACAAAGAAATAGCCCATAATCTTACGTGCAGATAAACCTGATGCCCACAGATAATGTCCTGAGCCATTGCCGTACGTGTGGTCATAGTCGATGGCATTTCCACCAGGATAAGCGGTATTACTAGCTTGCGTCAATTCAAATAGGTAGGTGGTGTCGTTGTAACCTGCATCAAACCAACCAGAGAGACCGTGCTCGAAGTCTGTAGCAGCGCAGGAGGTCTCGTCATCACCTTGCGGACAGTCCACATTGAAATCACACACCTGTAACAGAAGTAAAACGAAATTATACCTGGAATAAAAAAAACTGAAATGACTCACTTGGAAATAAAGAAAAAATAATTGTATAAATAAAGAGTTTATGTATAACAGTAACAAGTAAAGTATTAAACATATATTGGAGATCTTTTTAAAAAATAATGTCCCTTAATGTTTGTGCAATACTACCTTGATGTTTGTTGAAGCTCATTTTTACAGGATGAATCAGTAAGCCGGTGGAAGGCCTCGGTCAAATGACCAAAAGTTCCACTGAGTAGGTCATCATATGACTGATGCCCCTTATATCCTATATGGCACATAGCCTAATTTTGATTTATGTATTTCATTTCTATGAAAAGGAAAATCTTTTCAAGATATAAAAACAAAGAATCCTAAAATTTGTTATAGTTTTTAACTTTATGGATATTAAATAACTTCCTCAAATATTTATTTTACAAATTTCAGTGACAACGCAGAGTGGACAAAAAAGATACAGGTATATTGGACATGTGTTTCCTTTAATCTTTTACTTCAGTTTGAGGTAATTTAAAAGAAAAATAGAGAATGTTTTTTTCTTTCGCTAGCAGTAAAACAAAACAAAAATTATAGTATAATTTGTGTGTTTTCTACAACCAATGAATGTTTACGAAAATATTACTGGAGCCGCGTTTGGGCACCAGTGTTTATATTACTAGTGCATATATGGTAATACTGTTATACATGTTATAACTCTATGAAACTTCTGGATAAGTGTTATACCCAAGTCAATGAAATTGATCTCATTAATGACACTACACACACACACACACATACACATACATACACACACACACACACACACACACACATACACACACACACACATACATACACACACACACACACACACACACACACACACAACATACTACACACACACACACACACACACACACACACACACACACACACACACACACATACATACAACACACACACACACACACACACACATACACACACACACACACACACACACACACACACACACACACACACACACATATGTTATTGCTGTTCTTACTGCTGAACAGCGGTTTAGTGCCGATGAAGGTAGCGTAGGTAGCAATGATACGGCCGTGGACTAGATTGGCTTTAATTGGGTAGGAGTGAGTACACAACGGGCAGTGTGAGGGAGTGACCGCAAGCCAGTCCGTGGAGGGGGCACCTGTGACTATCACGTCGGTCGGTCGAGGAGTGAGTGCGAGGCAAGTCTGGGCATACTGAAGTGGCAAGGCCTATAGGTGGCAGCACCAGCATGGCGCGAAATATGAACTAAGCTGGCAGACAGCATGGGCTGTCTGTGCAGACAGTACAGGCTGTCTACATACGCTCGGCCACCTACCGCGCGTCGTCCCGACGCGACAATACTGGTAGTAAAAGAAACTCGGTCTCTCTCTCGTAGGAACAGGGCACAGAACACAAAATAAAAACATATATATACATATGGACATGGAAAAAAAAACTTCCTACAGGGAGGGAAGAAAAAAACATTTGGGGTGTGCTAAACATCGTGGTCATAGGCAATGAGCGTCGAAGGGCATCACTGCACGCCTTCCTGCGTCTGGACATGTACTGCAACACGGGAGACATCGCTGCGGCTGAGCTGTGACGTAACAGGGTACGGTCTCCTCTGGTGAAGCAGTCATCGTAGGAGTCGCTGCAGGTTTTCACTCAACCTGGGGCACGACATGCTGGTGCCCTCGAGTGAGGCGTCGACAAAACTCGGCAACTGGGCAGGACTTCTGGCGACTCAGGAGGACACTTCTCGACTGGTACTGTCGCTGGGCTGTCACTGCCGGCGAGCGTGGAGCGAGTTGTGGAGCGAGTCGTGGCAGAGACGACTGGGCGAAACATCTGGGAGTCGTAACATCATACACCAGACTGCAGTGAGAGAGCTAGCAGTCAAAGTGACATCTTCTTTGTGCAGGCTGCTCACTGAAGCTTGTGACACGAGGCTGACACAGCGCCTGCCGACAGGCCTGGCTGCGGCTTGACGAGTATCATCTCTCGACAGTTGGAGTTATAGCAGAGGTTAGTCTAAGCGTCCCCAGACTTGTTTCTCTACATATAACTGCACTCTGAAGGTCTGGAGGTGAAGTGAAACAAATCTCGATGGGAATCGTAGCAGGTACGATTCTGCAGAACAACACGAGCGACGAGCATAAAAGCTTTCTGTACAAGAGGGCTCGTACGCTCAGGGCTGAGTAATCAGCTGTCAAACACTGGTCACGCGGGTGACAGCACAGTGGTGCAACTCAAGGGTCTGACCACAGACCTCACTGGACACACGGAAAACTTACAAACACACCGCTGTACATACGGTACAACATGGCTTAAACTAGCAAAAGATGCTTTTCTGTGCACAAAACTGACACTAAGACATATTAAAATGTGAGAACACTGACTGAGAGGAATTAATTAACACACGACATATATCTTCTCTCAATCTTCTCGATAATATTGAAATAATTACTAGAACACTCGATGTGACATCATGTGATGTCAGGCGTGATGTCGCAAGGTGACGTCAGCAGCAGTGACGTCAACAGACATCGTGAGGTGACGTCAGCAGACATCGTGAGGTGACGTCAGCAGACATCGTGAGGTGACGTCACCTCACGATGTCTGTTGACGTCACTGCTGCTGACGTCACCTTGCGACATCACGCCTGACATCACATGATGTCACATCGAGTGTTTTAGTAATTATTTCAGTATATCTTTAATATATCTTTAAATATATCTTTAAACGTATAAGAGAAAATTTCAGAAAGGACTTAATTTTAAATGAGTTCTTGCTAATTGACCAGTTTTACATATTCGGCACGACATATATATATATACATATATATATATTATATATATATATATATATATATATATATATATTATAATATATATATATATATATATATATATATATATATATATATATATATTATCACACTGGCCGATTCCCACCAAGGCAGGGTGGCCCGAAAAAGAAAAAACTTTCACCATCATTCACTCCATCACTGTCTTGCCAGAAGGGTGCTTTACACTACAGTTTTTAAACTGCAACATTAACACCCCTCCTTCAGAGTGCAGGCACTGTACTTCCCATCTCCAGGACTCAAGTCCGGCCTGCCGGTTTCCCTGAACCCCTTCATAAATGATACTTTGCTCACACTCCAACAGCACGTCAAGTATTAAAAACCATTCGTCTCCATTCACTCCTATCAAACACGCTCACGCACGCCTGCTGGAAGTCCAAGCCCCTCGCACACAAAACCTCCTTTACCCCCTCCCTCCAACCTTTCCTAGGCCGACCCCTACCCGCCTTCCTTCCACTACAGACTGATACACTCTTGAAGTCATTCTGTTTCGCTCCATTCTCTCTACATGTCCGAACCACCTCAACAACCCTTCCTCAGCCCTCTGGACAACAGTTTTGGTAATCCTGCACCTCCTCCTAACTTCCAAACTACGAATTCTCTGCATTATATTCACACCACACATTGCCTCAGACATGACATCTCCACTGCCTCCAGCCTTCTCCTCGCTGCAAAATTCATCACCCATGCTTCACACCCATATAAGAGTGTTGGTAAAACTATACTCTCATACATTCCCCTCTTTGCCTCCAAGGACAAAGTTCTTTGTCTCCACAGACTCCTAAGTGCACCACTCACCCTTTTCCCCTCATCAATTCTATGATTCACCTCATCCTTCATAGACCCATCCGCTGACACGTCCACTCCCAAATATCTGAATACATTCACCTCTCCATACTCTCTCCCTCCAATCTGATATCCAATCTTTCATCACCTAATATTTTTGTTATCCTCATAACCTTACTCTTTCCTGTATTCACTTTTAATTTTCTTCTTTTGCACACCCTACCAAATTCATCCACCAATCTCTGCAACTTCTCTTCAGAATCTCCCAAGAGCACAGTGTCATCAGCAAAGAGCAACTGTGACAACTCCCACTTTATGTGTGATTCTTTATCTTTTAACTCCACGCTCTTGTCAAGACCCTCGCATTTACTTCTCTTACAACCCCATCTATAAATATATTAAACAACCATGGTGACATCACACATCCTTGTCTAAGGCCTACTTTTACTGGGAATTAATTTCCCTCTTTCCTATGTACTCTAACTTGAGCCTCACTATCCTCGTAAAAACTCTTCACTGCTTTCAGTAACCTACCTCCTACACCATACACCTGCAAACATCTGCCACATTGCCCCCCTATCCACCCTGTCATACGCCTTTTCCAAATCCATAAATGCCACAAAGACCTCTTTAGCCTTATCTAAATACTGTTCACTTATATGTTTCACTGTAAACACCTGGTCCACACACCCCCTACCTTTCCTAAAGCCTCCTTGTTCATCTGCTATCCTATTCTCCGTCTTACTTTTAATTCTTTCAATAATAACTCTACCACACACTTTACAGGTATACTCAACAGACTTATCCCCCTATAATTTTTGCACTCTCTTTTGTCCCCTTTGCCTTTATACAAAGGAACTATGCATGTTCTCTGCCAATCCCTAGGTACCTTACCCTCTTCCATACATTTATTAAATAATTGCACCAACCACTCCAAAACTATATCCCCACCTGCTTTTAACATTTCTATCTTTATCCCATCAATCCCGGCTGCCTTACCCCCTTTCATTTTACCTACTGCCTCACAAACTTCCCCCACACTCACAACTGGCTCTTCCTCACTCCTACAAGATGTTATTCCTCCTTGCCCTACACACGAAATCACAGCTTCCCTATCTTCATCAACATTTAACAATTCCTCAAAATATTCCCTCCATCCTCCCAATACCTCTAACTCTCCATTTAATAACTCTCCTCTCCTATTTTTAACTGACAAATCCATTTGTTCTCTAGGCTTCCTTAACTTGTTAATCTCACTCCAAAACTTTTTCTTTTTTCAACAAAATTTGTTGATAACATCTCACCC